CCTTGGCAGATCGATCATATGGCAATCCCATATATCGCAATGATGATGAGGAGAAAGTTGATTCTGCTGAGTCAAGCAATAAAATATCTCAAGAACTTCAGCAGATAAGGAAGCTACAAGAAGAAGCCAATCAGAACATAGAGCATAGTCTACAAAGCTTTCTACAAGCCCAACGAAAACATTCAGATCATTTCACTCAATGTTTGAATGTTATTGAAAGGGCCATCCATGACAATTCTTGAGCTATTCGAGAAGAAGTAGCAGAAAGTCACAGAACCCTCACTGCAGTTTCTGAGAGAACCATAGAACATGTTCGACAGCAACAAAATGTTCCAAGGCAACTCGTACCTCCAGCAATGGAATTACCACAGCAAAATCTTCCAGATCCTTTGCCCGGGGGGCATGGGGGGCATATTAATCAGCCACAGGTGGTGCAACAGATGCCCAATGCTCAAAATAATGCTCTTGGTGCAGTCCAAGTGCAGTTCAATAGGCAGCAACAAAACAGTCCTGCTGGTGGCATCCTTGGACCACAAGATCCTGTGGAAGTAGCATTCCGTGCAGCTGAGCAACTCAACGCCAATCAACAAAGATATGTACCTCCTGCACGTCGTCCAAATGCAGCCCCATAGCCCAACTTCCAGAATAATGCCTTTCAACCACAACCATTAGGGTTGCAAGCAGCACCCCTTCCCTTGGATAGAAATCAACTTATTGATCTAGTCCAAGAGACATATGGTCCAGCTTTAAGACCATTGGTTCGTCCTTCCTATCATAAGCCGTATCCAGATTACATAGATCGGGATAATCCATTTCCTCGTGGATTCAAAGTGCCTGAATTTACTTTGTTTTCTGGGGACGCAAGCCAGTCAACCATTGAACACATTGGTAGGTTCACTATTCAATGTGGGGAGGTATCGGGTGATGATTTTTTGAAGTTGAGACTCTTCCCAAGTTCTTTAATTGGTACGGCACTGACATGGTATCTAAGTTTGCCACAAATTTCTATGTTCACCTGGAGACAAATGGAAGGTTTGTTTCATATTCAATTCTACCGCTCAGAGCCTGAGATATCCATGGCTGGTCTTTCTAGACTGACTCAACGGCCAGGGGAATCTTCAAAAAATTATCTTATGCGGTTTAGAAAAGCCCGGATGAAGTGCCATGTTGCCTTACCAGAGCAAGAGTTCGTGAAGCTTGCTCAAAATGGTTTAGACATTGAACTTCGAAAGAAGTTTGAGGGGATGGAATTCAGAGACTTCTTTGAGCTCTCTTATAAGGTGGCACGTTATGAGAACCTTTTAAGAGAGGAATCCCAAAGAAAGGCAATGTTGCAAGGAACTTATTATCAGGATGCTTTTGACCTTGATGTTGCCGTGGTCTTTGCAGACAAGCTAGTAACTTGTCCTAATCTAGTGAAAGTCACTCAACAGGTTGAGGCGGCTGCAAAGCATCTCTCGTATGAATCTAGGAGACAATACACATTTGATGTGATTAAAGCAAATGAAATCTTTGATTATTTGAAAAAGTTAAGACATATTAAGCTACCGCAGGGGCATAGGCTCCCAACGGTTGCTGAAATTGCATCCAAAGATTACTGTAAGTTTCATAACTCCTAGAAGCACCCTACTAATGACTGTGTTATTTTTCGAAATGTGTTGCAAGACAAGATTGACAAAGGGCTGCTTCGTTTCCCTGAAAAACCCAAGGAAGCCATGGGGGTTGATGAGAATCCTTTTCCGAACGTTGATGTTGGAGTTAATGTTGATGACATAAGGAGCATCTCTCAAAGGACGTATAAAGGGCGAACTTTGGCTGCAGATGACCTTCGCTGGGTGATTGAGAAGGAAAGGGAACATCGTGCCCAACAAAATCAGAGGCTCGGAGGGCAACACCATGTTGCCAGAATCTATGCATCTGGATCCAGGATGAAGGAGGCTTGACATACAGATCGCTCTCGTATAGTTAAGCCTCCATAGTGACCTCCAAGTAAAAGGTGGGAGAAGGTCGTGCATCCCAAGTTTCCAAAAGAACCTGTGAGAAATCCTAGAACTTTGAAAAGAAGGTTGCAACGAAAGTGAGCAGAGGCACGTCGTCGTCAACAATTAGCTATTGAGGAATTTAAGGTTCCACAACGTTCTCTCGTAAAGGGAATGATGGTGTGGAAGAGAAAAAAGAGTCAAGAGGTTGCTGTCCAGAATGAATCTCAGCTAAAGGTGCCACCTCCTAAGCTCACCTCATTGATCGTCGATGAAAATGAGTTGAAGGCAACCTTTGAAGCAGATTAGCAAGCAGAGTTGACTAGCGATGATAATCTTCTTGAGGACATGGATGTTCTGCAGATCGGCAGCATCTCTATTAACCTCTCTTGTTTGGTTCTCACACTTCCTTTGGTTTTTCAAGCCAAGGGCAGCGAGACTACCTATGTTCCTACCCATGTTTCCAATGGCAGCATGTTTGTTGAAGAAGAAGTGATAGAGGTTCCAGCCCAAGAAGAGGAAGAGGAGCACGATATCCTTTTAGAACAAATTATCTTTAACAAA